AGCACCCCCTGCCCAAAACACCCCATGACCCCCCCACAGTCCCCTGTGCCTCATTGCTTTTGAGCGGGCAACAACCCAACACGTTCCTGCTTTGCCCTGGTGCTCTTGTAGCATCAGACTGACCCCGGGTGTCAGCAGAGATTCTCCTGTGTGGAGGAGGGGACTCCAGTCTCCGGCAGGAGCGGGCACGAGGCACCTTTGCAAGCTGTAGGGACAGCCTTGTCCCCAGCCCAATACACACAAATTGGGGGATGTCCCCCCCATGTCCCTTCCCAACGTGGGGACACAGTGCCGTAGAGGATGACAGTGCTGAGGACAAGGTACCCCCAGAGGTACCCAGAGGTGTGTTAGGCTGAGGGGTCCTGCACACATCGGGGGGCTGTGCTGGGGGCTCCCAGGGCACTCATGGGTTCCACCGGTTGGGTCTGTCCCCAACCCACGACAGGACAATGGGACAATCAGGGTGGCACCACTGCTGTCAGCAGCAAAACCCCAGCCTGGAGGCATGCAGTGCCTCTGTTAATTGCTGCGCTAAACGACGGTAAATGACAACAATCACCAGCGCTCTGCGCTTTGCTGACTTGCTCAATTTTAATGTGCCTGTTGCCAACCTCTGGAGCTCCCTGCTTCTTTGCTGGGTCCAGCGAGCACAGCGACATTACCCCCTGCCCCCCCTCCCACTCCCATCACACACAGCGCAGCTCCACTGTGGCGATGGCTGCTGCTGGCAGAAGCTCTGCTCGTGATGAGACACCCACTGGTGCCACCACCCCACTCACTGCTTGGGATGGCTGTCCCCGAGCAGTGCTGGCTCTGCCCCCGCTGACACCATGTGTACAGCGTCCTGCAGCGTGTAGAACGTCTGCAAGAGGTCTGGCGAGGTGGCTCGGCACTCCAGGAACCGCCGCAGCGTAGCCAGGCTGTCCCACACCTCAGGCTCTGAGGGGCACGGCTGCACTGCCACTGGCTCCCCAGAGTCCTCGCCCTCCTCCATACCCCTGTCCCAGTCCTCTGCCTCGGCCGTGTCAGCATCCGCAAGGCGCTCCAGCCCCTCATCCATCAACCCAAAGCTCTCCAGCTCCTCCTGGCCGAGCCAGACGGGTGCCAGCAGTGCATCAGGGCAGCTATTGGGGCTGAAGCTGGCGGCACGGAAGCAGCTGGTGATGAGGCCTGGGCGCACGTCACCCCACGCTTGTGCCAGCATGTGCAGGGCATCCAGCAGGGTGGGCGGCTCCGAGCCACGTGCCGCTGGGATCTGGGTCAGCAGCCGGCGCCGGTAGTGGCCCTTCAGGTCCCTGGCGATGCCACGGTGCAGGGGCTGTGCCAGCACAGCCGCGGGGGGAATGAAGACCATCTGGACGTTGGACAGCTGGAGGTAGGGGTGCTCCTCGCGCTCCTCGACGAGCAGCAGGACGCTCTTTCCCTTGCGCTGCATCTCCTCATTGAAGTCCTGCAGCCACTCGGCAAACAGCGTGGCGCTCAGGCGGCCGCCCCCGCGGTAACTCCACGGCATGCTCTGCAGGTTGATGCCACGCAGGCACAGGGGACGGGCCGCACGCCCCACCGCCCGCAGCGCCGCCTTCTCCGAGCCGTCAGCGTTGGTGCAGAGCAGCACCGTCAGCCTCTCACCGTCGGCTCTCAGCTGGACCTCAGTCTCCCCACAGCTGTACACCTCCGAGGGCGCGTAGCTGCACAGCAGCTCAGGCAGCGAGCTCTGGTGCTCGGCCCCACCGTCCTGCGCCAGCGTCGGCTTCTCGAGGGCGACGTTGTGGCGCAGCATGAAGCGTGCCAGCCAGCTACCGCTGGGCTCGAAGCCCGGCGTGCCCAGCGCCTCAGCCAGGTGCTTGGCCTTCAGCTGCAGCAGCGCGCTGCTGATGGGCAGCTCGGCGGCACGGGCGCCCTGCACCCACCGCAGCAGAGCAGCCTCCACCGCTCCCTCCTTGCCCTCCCTCTTGCGCTTGCGCTCAGGGTTGCCGTTGCGCTGCCACTCACTCAGGATCCTCTCCTTGTTCTTAATGATGCGGCAGATCTGCGGCTGTGACACTCCGAAGCGCTTGGCCAGCTCGCTCTGGGACACCTTGGGGCCTTCCAGCATCTCCAGCACGCGCACCTTCTCCGTCAGCGACAGCTCCTTGCGCTCCTTGCGGGGCGCCGAGGGCTCCGGGGCCGGGCCTCGGCCGCAGGCACCGCACGGGACCGGGCAGCTCACAGCCGTGCTGCACGCCGGCGGCTGTCCCGTGCCGGGCCGCGGCCCAGCCGCGGCCCGCGGCCCCGCTCCGGTCCTCCGCGTGGCGCCGAGGCCGCACTCGGAGCACTCGGGCCCCGGCTGGGTCCCGGCACTCTCGGTGAGGCTCAGCCCCGCATCACCCGCACCGGGGCCCGGCCCGCGGCCGCCGCAGTGCCGCTCCCACGCCGGCACGGCGCTGGGTTCCTCCCTCCGCCCGTCCTTCTGCAGCCAGCGCCCTGCAGAGACACGGGAGCGTTTTTGAGGCCAAACCTTTCCAGTTTGGCACAATGCCCTCATCCTGAGGGCTCGGGTTGGTGATCCCCGGTCGGCCCGGGCCTTACCGACGGTGCCCAGCTGCTCGCGCTCCTCCTTCATGGGGCCGCACCGCACCGCACCGCACCGCACCGCGCGACCCCGGCTGCCGGCGCCGGGAGCGCGCACTTAGCCCCGCCCACTCCCTGCTCCTCTCCTGCCACCCCATTGGGCCGCCGTAGGGTTCCGCGCGAGGATTGGCTGCGGGGCGGCCAATCAGAGGCGGGGAAAGACCCTGGGAGTGGGCGGGCGGGAGAGCGCGCGCCGGGCGATGTCAGTGATATGCTGTGACGTCAGATGTGACGTCATCATGGCGTGGTGACAACAGAGTGGTGCGAGTGACATCTGTGATGTGAAGTGACATCACAGCGGTGGGAAGTCACACTGTAGCAGTGCGGGACGACATCACCAGTGTGCAGTGACATCAGAGCGGTGCAAGCTTGCTTTGCAGCCACTTAGGATGACGTCAGAACGGCGTGTGTGACCCAGCGGTGTGGAATGACACCATGGTGTTGGGCTGACATGGAGGCAGTGCTGCGAGAAGACATCCCAGCAATGTGTGATGACAACAGAGCCGTATGAGATGATGTCACAGCAGTGCAGTGGGCACAGCATGGCACTGGGCAAGCTGAGAGCAGTGCTGCAGTACTGGGCACGGAGCTGCAGTGCTGGATGCATGGCTGCAGAACAAAGAGCAGCAGGTCCAGCATCGCTGTGCTGAATGCACTGAGCGTTGTGGCACTGCAGCGTTGCAGCAGTGGGTGCAATGATGTGATGCTGTGTGTTGCAGTGCTACATGCTGCACTGCTGGATGCACGGTTGCGGCACCAGATGTTGCACAGTTGCAGCGTTGCTCTGTTGCGACATAAGCTGCTGCACACTTGCACTGTTGAAGAACAGGCAGTTGTGCTGTTGCGCTGTCGCACAGTTTTAGCGGGGACTCTTACACTCTTGCAGAGTTGCAGTGTTGCACTGTTGCAGAACAGGCTGTTTTGCTACTGCACTGTTGCAGTGCTGCAGTGTTGCATTGCAGAATGTTGTGCTGTTGTGCTGTTGTGCTGTTGCACCGTCTCACTGTTGCAGCTCAGACTGCATTGCTGCACCGTAGCACTGCTGCAGCTCATGCTGTTGCACTGTTGCTCTGTCGCACAGTTGCACTATTGCAGCTCGGGCTGTCACAGCATTGCACTGTTATGCTGTCACACCATCGTGGCTCAGGCTGCTGCAGGATTGCATTGTCACACTGTTGCAGCTCAGGCTGTCACGCTGTCACGGTGCCGCATTGTTGCAACTCAGGCCATTGCAATGACGCGCTGTCACACTGTCGCACCGTTGCGGCTCAGGCTGTCACACTGACGCACTGTCGCACTGTCGCGGCTCAGGCTGTCACGCCGTCACACTGCTGTCGCTCAGGCTGTCGCGCCGTAGCGGCTCAGGCTGTCTCCCTGTCGCACTGTCGCGCGGTCACAGCCTCGTCCTGTCGCACCGCCGCGCCGTCGCACGGCGCCATCACGCACCGACTCCTCCCGGCCGCCAGGTGTCGCCGCGGTCCCACCCCGCCTCTCCCAGCATGCACCGCGCTCGCGCCATGGCCGCTCTGCTCCGCCGCTGCTGAGAGGCGCCGGGCCCGCACCGCCGCCGCCGCCGCCCCGCCCCTCCCCGCCCCGCCCGGCTCCACCCGGCTCCGCTCCGCTCCGCTCCTCCGCTCCGCTCCTCCTCTCTCGCAGGGCTATGGCCGAGTGGGCCCCCGCTCAGGTAAGCGTTTCCCGCCCCGCTCCGCGCCCGCTCTTCTCCGCCCTCCCCGCTTCCCGCGGAGCTGTCCTGCGGGCCCGACCCGTCTGCCCACGGCCGTGTGTCCGTCCGTCCTCAGGACCTGGAGTGGGCCATGGAACCCCAGGAGCTGTCCCTGGAACAGCCCTTGGCCGCCCCCGAGGAAGGGCCCGGCGGGGAGGCCGAGCTGCCCGCCGCCGAGATCTCGGTGACGCTGGTGACAGAGGTGCAGGCCGTGGACAGGAAGGTGGAGGCGCAGGCGGCCCAGCTGATGAACCTGGAGGGCAGGATGAGGATGGCCGAGAGCAAACTGATCGGCTGCGAGAGGACGGCTGTGGAGTTTGGCAACCAGCTGGAGAGCAAATGGACGGCCCTGGGCACCCTCATCCAGGAGTATGGGCAGCTGCAGAAGAGGCTGGAGAACATGGAGAACCTGCTGAAGAACAGGAACTTCTGGATCCTGCGCCTGCCCCCCGGGGCCAAGGGGGAGGTCCCCAAGGTAACGGGGCCATGAGCCATGTCAGAGACCTCTGGGCTGTGTCAGAGACCTCATCTCACCTCTGTGAGGTGGTGGCAAGGTGGGGTCAGCCTCTGCTCCCGATAGGATGAGAGGTGATGGCATCGCACCATGGCTGCTCGTGGCTAGATATGAGGAGGAGGTTTTTCAGCCAGAGGGTGGTGGGCACTGGTTGCCCAAGGAGGCTGTGGATGCCCCATCCCTGCAGGCATTCAAGGCCAGGCTGGATGTGGCTCTGGGCAGCCTGGGCTGCTGGTTGGCGACCTGCACACAGCAGGGGTTGGAGCTGGATGAGCATCGTGCTCCTTTGCAACGCAAGCCATTCTGTGATTCTGTCATGTTGTGCCAGGGAAGGATCAGGTTGGGTATCAGGAACCATTTCTTCTCAGAAGAGCGGTTGGGCTCTGGCACAGCTGCCCAGGGAGTGGGGGAGGAGGGGGGAGGGAGGGTGTCATCGTCCTTGAGGGTGTTCAAGAACTGTGAGGATGTGACATTGTGACATTGAGGGGTGCGGATTGGTGAGTGTGTAGTGAAGAGCTGGAGTTGGACTTGGGGATCCCAGAGGTCTTTTCCAACCTCAGTGATTCTGTATTGTGATACAGAGCTTGTGCTTCGGCCGCAAGTTGTACCAGAGGAGGTTTAGGTTGGACATGAGGAAGAACTTTTTCTCTCAAAGAGTGATCAGGCACTGGAATGGCTGCACAGGGAGGTGGTGGAGTTGCCATCCCTGGCAGTGTTCAAAAGGTGTCTGGATGAGGAGCTGCTAGATCTGTTTAGTGCTGGTGGTAGCGGTGGTGATGGGAGGACGCTTGGACTGGATGATGTTGCAGGTCGTTTCCAACCTTGTGATTCTGTGATTCTCTAATGCAGATTCCCAAACCTGTAGGAGTTGAAAGAGGCCTCTGCAGCTCCCCCAGTCCAACCCGCCTGTAATGCAGGTGCCCAGAGCAGGGTGCATGGGGAAGTGTCCAGAGGGTTTTGAGTATCCCCAGAGGAGATTCCACCACCTGTCTGGGCATCCTGTGCCAGAGCTCTGCCACCCTCAAACTATAGAAACTCTTTCTCATGATCAGGCAGAGATATGTGTCTATGTTCCCATTTATGCCCATTGCCTCTTGTTGTGTTGCTGAGCACTGCTGAAAAAATCCTGGCCTCGTTCCCCTTACCCATTAAACACTTATATGCACTGATGAGATCCCCTCTCAGCCTTCTCTTCTCCAGGCTGAAAAGCGCCAGGGATCTCAGCCTTTCCCTGTAAGGCAGTTGCTTCAGGCCCCAGCCACTGTGGATGATGAGCACGCAGCTCACCTGCTGGTTGGGAACACCAGCACAGGTCCTTCTGTGTGGCTGCACACCCCTGTGCATGTGCAGCTGGTGCTTGACCCAGCACACGGGTGGGTTGCTGTTTGGGTCAGGCACAGGGACACGATGTGGGTCGTCCCCACATCCCTGCCCGTATTTGCACGTGCACTCCCAGTTCTTGTTCAGAGGAGGCTGCAGCAGAATTATGTCCAAAATTGAGCAGGAATTGTGGTGTATGATGTGCAAAATCCCTTGTCTGAAGCGTGGGGAGATTGAATAGGGGGGCAAGGCTTAGGCAGGTGGTGGGGGAAAACATCATATCTCTTCACTGAGCTGACAGAGCCGAGCTGAGAGCTGAGCCAGGTGTGTGGGGGTTAGAATGAGAAAACATCCTTACCTGTTTTCAACAAGAGGCCCTTGGATCCAGAGGAGGCCACAAAGATGCTCAGAGGTTGGAGCACTTCTGCTATGAAGATGGGCTGAGGAGCCTGGGGGTGTTCAGCTTAGAGGGAAAAAAGGCTCCAGGGAGACCTTGTTGTGGACTTTCTAGTACATAATGGAGCTTATAAATGGGAGGAAAAGAGACTTCTTGTAGGGGCAGATCGCTACAGGACAAGGGGGGAACGGCTTTAAACTAAAAGAGAGGTGATTTAGGTGGGATGGTAGGCAGGGATTCTTTACCCAGCGGTGATGAAGTGCTGGCACTGCCCAGAGCTGTGGTGCCCACCCCTGCAGGTGCCCAAGGCCATGGCTGGGCCCCGGGCAGCCCGAGCTGTGGGACAGCCAGCCCACGGCAGGGTGGGTGGAATTTGATGCTCTTCAGAGTCCTTTCTCACCTGAGCTTTTCCATGAAAACAGCTGAATATGTGGTGCTTCTAATTGCAGGTCCCCATGGCGTTTAACGACACCTCATTTAGCTTCTCGGAGGACGAGTGGAAGAACTTGAACGAGTGGCAGAAAGAGCTTTACAGGCATATCATGAAGGGCAACTACGAGGCCGTGATCTCGATGGGTAAAGGCTGGCTGGGGCTCCCCCTGTGCTTTTGGCATCACGGCTCCTCCGGGCTGTGCCTGGTGGATCCGGGAGGGTGGGTGGTGAGAAGTCTGGCCAGCTCTCATGCTGACTTTCAGTAGCGGCCCAGCAGGCAGCGCTTTGCTCCTCGCTGTGTTAGTTGTGCAGTGGATGGATGTCTTGAGCAGTGCAGCGACTCTGCCTTTCTGATGGTCTCTGGCCATCCAGCTGGAGCCATGAGAGGACCTGGGTTATGAGGACGAGGGAAATGAGAGATTGACAGGCTCTGGACAAAAAGGGAGCTTCGTGGTGATGCAGAGGTGCACAGATGTGCTGCGCTGGGCGCCTCGGCTCGCTGCTGCTTTGGATGAGTGCCAGCAGTTCTTCCCAGCCTTGTCTGTAGATCTGCCCTTCCATCAGCAGAACGCTTGCTAGGGAAGGAGAGCACAGTTTGTCTGCCTTGGTGCTCTGCCTCACCCCCAGCCTGGTGCTGGAGAACAATTCTTGTGCACACTGTTGCAGCATCTGCTCCTGCAGGTCTCAGCCTTCTGCTCCACTTCTGATGGCTCGGGGCAGATTGTTCCACGCTGCACAAATGTGCCCTGCTGGCTCCTTCCAGTCCCGACTGTGGGTCTGTGCTGCACCTCACGAGGGCTTCAGGCATGTGTGTATTTTGAGAAGTGCTGCCTTGGCTGGACACCCCTGTGGGAGCGCAGACATCCCTGGCAGACAACCATCCTGCCCTCCAGTTCTGTACAATCCATGTCTTTCCAACGTTGGTTTTATTTTTTTTTAATATAAATATTTTTTGGACAGTCCCTGTGTAGAAGAGAAAAAGGCAAAGGATAAAAACTGCCCCCATTCTCCCTTGTAAAACAACAGTCCTGTTGTGAAGGTGCAGGAATGTAAAAGTCCTACTGGAAGCGATCCGTGGGTCTGAGCCTGGAGCTTAGAAAAATGTATCTGTGCTTAATCTGAAGGTTCCCTTTTGTTTTGATTCATTGGGTTGAAGGCTAGGTCCTCGTTAAGGCTATGGATCCAGCAGAGCAGTGGTGGAAATTAATACCAGAGGCTCACGCTTATTGTTTCAAAATTAAGTTTCCGCTCTCCATGCTAGGGGAAATTTTAATTTTCCCATTTCCCCCACCAAAATCCACAAGCAGCCTGTGACTCGGACGAGTAGGAAGGAACGGTTCTGGCTGTGGCAATCCGGGGCTGGAGGGAACCGTGTGGGGAGGGCACCTCCGCTGCTGCCGCTGGCTGACAGCTCTGGTTCTGACCCCAAGCTGAAGCTGCCATTGCAATGGATCCGCGGACTTTAGCACAGAGGAGAAGAGAGGAGGCCTGAAGGTAAGCACAGATGCATTTTCTTGTTCTGCTCCTCGCGCTGCAGGCTGGGAGGTGCTCCTCACCCGAGCAGAGCGTGCTCCTGCAGCCCGCTCACTGTCCCAGGGCCCAGACAAGGTGAGCGGTGCAGGCATGTGAGAGCATCTTCTCAAGTCTCTTTCCATTACCCGTCCTCCCCAGCAGTGAAGGAAGGTCGGTGGGTGAAGGTTTAAGGTTCTCTGCCCTGAAAGGACAAAGGAAACGTTCTGATTTTATTTTTCTTCTTCTTCTTTTCTTTCCTTTTCTTTTTTTTTAACATACAGATACCGCGATTTCGAAACCTGACCTCCTGTCACGGATTGAGCAAGGAGAGGATCCCAATGCTGAGGACCAGGATGACTCTGAGGGAGGAGAAACCCCTACGGATCCCAGCACCGGTGAGACATGAAGTTCCCGGGTTGCAGTGGGGTGATGGAAAGCAGATGCAGCTCCTACAGTCTGCTTGAGCTCTTCCTCTTGTTTCTGCTGATGAGTGTTGCCTGCACTGTCCGTGAGCTCAGGAGTGGCTTTGCTCTCCTAGCCAGCTCCTCGCTGCTGCTGTCATCTGTCCTGAAACCCTCTATAAAGCACCTGGAAAGTGCGAGCATAAACTCAGGTTGTTCTTCCTCCTGTGCACAGAGTTTTTCTTCCCTGGTCCCGATGACAACTCGTGGAGTAAATATGAAGATACCCTGGCTGAAAGTCACTACGGTTCTGAAGAAGAAGAAGAAGAGGAAGAAGAAGAGAGCATGGAGGCTCCCAATACATGTGAGTTAGAAGCACAGAGCTTCACTGAGTGCTGCACAGAGTGGCAGAGGGGCGGCTAGAGATGCTCTCAGGCTCCTGGCTCTGGCTGGGGCTGTCCCTGCAGGAGGCCCTGCCGTCACTGCGGTCTGTGCCAGGCTTGCCTCAGGCTCAGCACGGGAGCTGGATGACAGCCGTGGCAGATGGATGACACACATGCAGAAGGAGCTCCGGTACACGAGCAGCAGGCAGTAAAAGCAGCTGTGGGCTGGCTGGGGGTGCAGGGCACCTGCACAGCGTTGGCTCGCTCAGTGAGGTAGCATGTTTGGCCAGCTAGGAAGTGGAGAGGGCCTGGAGCGTGCAACGGGCGGGCAAGCTTCAATGGCTTTAGCAGCAATGTTCTTACAAGTCTTTTCCACTAATGGGTAAAGTGATATTTTTCACAGCTTTTATTTGTCAGTCAAATATGAGGCTTTTTTGTGGTGCATCACAAGGCATGTCCTTGTCACTGCCTGTCCCTCCACATCCCTGCTTTGAAGCATGGGAGCACAGAAGCCGCTTGGGGAAGCGTACCCTGCTGGGACGTGGCTTTGGTTTCCTGGCCTTGTTCTCACAAGCAGCTGAGCTGCTGCAGCTGATGCTTTTCTTAAATTTCAGCCTGGTACAAACCAGTCAGCCTGTTTGCAAGCTGCACGTTGAGGTGTTTGGCAAAGCGACGAGCAAATGGAGAGCGCCGTGATGGGGAATGCCGAGCGCTCGCTCTGCTCTGTGCACACAAACGTGGGCACGCCTTTATCTTTGTGCACTGCAAAACCCCGAGGTTTTTTCAGCCCCCTTTCCTATAGCCCCAGATCCTCTGTCTCTTTTCATCCTGCTCGCTGGGGTCATTGGCAGGAGCTCCGAGTTACCTGGGGAGATCAATCAGCCCCGGGTCTAAACACTGTACAAGCCCCAAAAGGAAAGAGGTTTTATTCCCCTTCCCTCTGTCTTTTTGTCTTTATTCTATGCCACATGCTGACGTGGTCTGGTTCATCTCCAACTGAGAAACCCACTCCTTCCCTCTGTCTGGCTGTACAGAGAGGTCTCACCTTCACGCTGTCTGAGCTTTCCCAAGAAGTCAAAATACTTTGGCTGTGTTTGTATTGCAGTACTGCTTAGCTCCCAGTTGGGACTTGCAGCCCTGTCATGCCAGGTACCGTCTTGAGTGTGCAAAGCAGAGATCCCCTCTGCCCCCAAAGAACTGCAGTCTAAATGATGAGGCTGTTCTTATCTCAGAGAAATGACACGAGTGTCTCTGCTCTGTCAGATGCGCAGCAGTGCGACGAGGAAAGCCCCGACAGCCTCGAGCTTCCTGCCTCGTTAGCGGGGAAGTGGGATGATGTTTTCTCCAACCCGGAGGAAGAGTTAAAGCCGAGCAGCAAGAATCGGAGCGGGTCGGGCGCGCAGCAGAGAGGCGCAGCGGGCAACGGGCTGAGGCGCTCCTCGCGCCGCGGGAGGGAACTGTCAAAGAAGGAAGCTCCCGAGGAAATGGCCGCAGAGGAGGGGCCGTACATCTGCTGCGAGTGCGGGCAGAGCTTCCTGGACAAGGAGCTCTTTGCAGCCCATCAGAGAGCGCACGTGGACGAGGAGGCCTGCACTTCCCTGGAAGCCGGGGAAAGCTTCAGGCAGAAATCCAAATCCTCCGCCAAGGGCCAACGCTCCAGACCGTCCAAGCGCGCCAATTCAGAGAAGGGCTCCGGTTTCAAGTACGGCTTCGTCAGGCCGAACAACATGGTGGAAAGGCCCTACACCTGCTCGCAGTGCAAAGAGAGCTTCAGCCTGGAGGTGAGCCTCATCCTGCACCAGAAGCTCCATACGGGGAAGGGCGACGGGCCGCTGACCTGCACCTACTGCGGGAAGGACTTCCGGGACCTCTCCAAAGCCATCCGCCACCAGCGCATCCACACGGGGGAGCGGCCGTACCAGTGCACCGAGTGCGGGAAGAGCTTCATCCGCAGGGACCACCTGCTCAAGCACTGGCGCGTCCACACCGGGGAGACCCCGTACCAATGCCCCGTGTGCGGGAAGCACTTCCGCTACAAGGAGTCGCTGAATTGCCACCAGAAGATCCACTCCCGCAACCCCCGGCCCATGGAGGAGGCCCTGCAGCACAACCTGGAGTCGGCCACTCAAACCAGCCTCTTCTGTTTGAAGACGGAAACCAAGCAGTAGCGACGGGCGGCCGGGGCGGAAGGGCTCGCAGTGACGGAACGGTCGAAGCCGGTGGACGCGCAGCATGGCGAGAGGTGAACTTGTATCGCAGCTAATCCATGTGGTCTTGCTACCAAGCCCGCTTTGTTGAAGCATCTTAGGAATTCCTCTAAAAAAAAAACTCTGATACGAAGGCCTGGGCACCTCTTCGGCCCCGCGGGGTTACGTGGGACTTCCTTGGCGGCGTAGGCCTCGTATTACTTGTCCCCTACGCAGGTTTGGATATTGCCTGTAGAGAATGCTCCTGAGAGATTCTCCGGGGATCTGTATTTAGCAGGTGTTTCCCCACCTATCTTTGTGCATATTCAGGAGTGACAAGCTTTCGCTTTCATTCTTTTTCTGCTCGTTTCACCACAAGGCTGGACGACGGAGGAAGGGAAGACGCCATTCCCGGGCCGCCGGCCGCCCGCTCCGGCTGCAGTGACGCACCTCGAGCAGCAGCCCCGTGCCACCAGGCTGGGCTGCCACAAGGGGACAGAGGCGAAGCAGGGCCGTGGTTAGGGACGTGGGGCAGAACTTGTCGAAGGCGGAAAAGCAGAGAGGAGAGAACAGCGAAGTGCAAGGTGAGAAAAAGAAGGCGGAGGAGGAAAGGACGGGAAGGAGAAAGGGCTGAGGACATTGGAGCAGGAGGAGTTGGGAGAGGAGGTGTGGGTGCGCAGAGCAGCCGGGTCTCTGATCCGAAGAGGAGATGTCTGTGTGCTTTGGAAGGACGTTGCTGTCGTTTCCCTCTGGCGTGGGGGAGCAGCGCTGCTGGTCTGTCATAGGAACTCCCGTTGGAGAAGGTGGTTTTACTGTTACTTTATTACTGGGTTTGGTCTCACACTCAGGTAAGTTGGACAAGTGAAAGGAACTTCTCCTAACCCCTGTAAAGAGCTGTTCGGTTTTCAGTTAATGTAGAAGTAGGATGTTGTTGTTACTGTTGTTATTATTATTATTATTATTAATTATTATTATTATTATTATTATTATTATACAATGAAATGTGTGGCACTATATTTCACCATGGATCTAAAACACTTCAATGTATGCGGTGACTGACCGGAGTTTTCCTGACGTCCCTGTAAATATCGGTTGACTTTGGCACTCAGTGGTGTTGTTCTCAAGGTGACTGTGAGCAGTGTCTCTTCCGCTGTGTATCGTTGGCTGCTGATTAGTGGTTGTGTTTTGTAATAACTTTTGTAAAGTCTGTCAATACAGTGTTTCCATTCTGAAGCCCTGTGTCGGGTGAGTGATTGCAGCCCTGTTTGCCCCTCTCTCAGTGCTGGCTGTGCGCAGCCCTGCATCTGCCTGCTGGTTACCTGCATCTCCACTGAGCCGCACAAGCGAAGCCAAGGCTGCACCTTGAACGCTGCTGGCACAGCCAGAGGTGCATCAGCACTGCTGGAGCTCCGGCACTGCCCTCACTGTGTGCCCTGTGTCGCCCTACTGGGCCGCCCCACTGCCATGTGTCCCCTTGGCACGGTGGTCACCTCTCCCCGTGATGCAGTGCTGTGGGCTGCCGGTCCCAGGGCCGTGCTTGCAGGCTGTGTGTTGGCAGTGGCTGCAGCGGAAGCTCCGTTTCCTCCTTGTCCCACCCGGGAGCAGCTCCTGGGCGCCTGCCCAGCTCCTGCTGCCTCTGGCAGCCATCCCATCCCGCCGGCCCAGGGTTGAGCAACGTTGCCCCCATCCTTCCTGGTTGGCAGTGGGACGTGGGACAGCAGTGGTGGCCTTGTCCTCAGCCCTCTGTGGCTGATGAGGGTTTGCTAGTGGCACAAAAAGATTAAACCAAACATAGAGACGATAAATAAATACAAAGACATCTCTGCTGGGGCTTCCAGTCTGGGTCCCTGCTGCCATCGTGCCCCAAAGGCCAGGTGCCCCATTTCAGCATCACAGCAAGGGATGCTGCTTCATCCCGTCCCCCTCATCCCCTCCCTTTTTCCATAATCCGACTGGATGGCGTCCATCCTCACGCCTGGTGTCATGACTGCCCCTCACTGTCAGCCCATGCCGGGGGTCTCCGAAGTCAGGAGCAGGAACAAGGCTTTGTGCCACAGTGGGGGCCTGGATGGGGCTGAGAGCACGCAGCCGTGCCAGGATGGGATGGGGCAGGGGGGAATTGATGGGGTAGAGTAGATGGGATGGGAGTAAGATGGAGGGGAGGGGACAAGAGCATGATGAGACAGGATGGATGGGATGGGACGAGAGTGGGAGAGATCACAGTATGGACGGGGTGGGACAAAATGGTGAGAGATCAGATTGTGGATGGGATGGGATAACAGGAGACAGATGGGATAGGATGGGGTGGGAGTAAGATGGATGGGATGAAGGCACGAGAGAGCAGGGTGGATGCGATGGGACAAGGCAGTGTGAGAGATCACAGTATGGATGGAACGGGATGGAACAGGATGGGACATGTGGGATGGAATGGCTGAGATGGGATATGGTGAGCTGGATAGGATGAGACAAGATGGGATGGAATAGAATAGCAGAGGGTGAGACAGGTGGGACAGAAAGGATGGAAGATTGTGGGGTGGAATGTAAGGATAGGATAGGACAGGAGGGAACGGAACAGGATGAGATGAGGAGGGATAGGATGGGATGGGCTGGGACAGAGCAGGATGGATGTGATGGGATGGAACAGATGGGTTGGGGTGGGATGGAATGGGGTGAGAGAATGTGACAGCATGGGACAGGACAGGATGGTGCAGGGTGGAATGGGGCAGGATAGAATTGGGGCAAAGTAGATGAAATAGGATGGGATGTGGTGGGATGGGAATAAGATGGATGGGATGGGGAGGATGAGAGAGCATTAAAGCAGGATGAGTGGGGTGGGACAAGACAGGGAGGTCAGAGAGGATGGATGAGATGGGACAGAATGGATGGGGTATAATGAAATGGATGGGATGGATGTCACGGGATGTGACAGGTGGGATGGGGTGAGAGAACATGAAAACATGGGGCAGAAAAGGATGGGATGGAAGGGGATGGGATGGAAGGGAAGGGGATAGAATGTGATGGTCTGGGATGGATGGGGTAAGGTAGAATTGATGGGGAAGGGTGGATGAGATGGGATGGGATGTGATAAGATGGGATGGGACAAGACAGGATGTGAGATCAGAAATAATGGATTGGATGGGATGGGATGGGATGGGATGGGATGGGATGGGATGGGATGAGACAGATGGGACGGAATGGATGGGATGTGGTGGAATGGATAGGATGGGACACGGTAGAATAGGACTGGAGGGAAAGAGATGAGATGAGACAAGGTGGGACAGGACAGATGGGGTGGGATCAGAGCATAATAGGATGGATGGGATGGGACAAGATAGTGTGAGAAATCAGAGTATAGACGGGATGGGATGAGATGGGATGGGATGTAAAAAGGCAGATAGGACAGGATGGAAAGAGATGGGATGGGACAGGGGAGGACAGGCTGGGACAAAACAGGGTGGATGGGATGGGAAGAGGACAGGATGGAATGGGACAGGGCAGAAAAGGATTGATGGGGTAGGGTGGATGATACAGGATGGGACACGATGGGAGGGGATGGGATGAGACAATGTGACAGCGTGGGACAGGACAGGATGGAAGAGGATGGGACAGAAAGGGACGGGACATGGATGGGACAGGATGGGCGGGGTGAAATTAATGGGGCAGGACAGAATTAATGGGGCAAGGGGGCGAAACTGAATGGGACACGATGGGATGGGAATAAGATGGATGGGGTGGGGTGGACGAGAGCACAACGGGACAGGATGGGTGGGATGGGATGGGACGGAGAGAGAGATCGCAGCGGGCGGATGGGACGGGACAAAGCAGGGCCGGGGCCGCTCGCCGCTCCCGCGGGCAGAGCCGAATCCCCACCTCCGCATCTCTCACGGAGCCCCGACGGCGGCGCGGGGCAGAAGCGAAGGGGGAAATGCCGGG